TCGCCGGACCCTATCTGCCTACAAAGGGATTTGGAGTCTGAGGCTTTTAGGGGCAGACATGAACAACTGTTTGGGAGTCAGCAGTGAGAAACGGGAGGTTCCTGTTGATGGATCTTGTAATCTTGCTTCTAATATCAACTTACAAACAAGTGAATGTGAGATGGAGCAGAGCTCCCCCCTGTACTCTGTGCTGTGGATACACTTGTTGTGTTGAACATGTTAACATCTTTGGAAGTCTTCCTGATTTAGCTGTAATTTTTAGTAGAAACCATGACACGTGGAGCATCTTGGATAATCCCACCATTGCAAACACATCCATTGCTGATGGAGTAGCATCCAGCACTACTTCGCACATGATGAAGCCTGAAAGAGAAATGGACTCAATTGTCTTAGAGGTCTTTTCCATCCTGAGTGTTTTTATAGGAATGACAAGTGATGGTCAGGATAAGTCCAGGCTAAATGGGGATGGGGAGGGCACAGTTTTGACAGTGGGTTGGGAGCAGGAGTGCTGCTGCTGGGGAAGGTCCAGAGCAAGTTGCTGCTTGGGGTAGAAGCAAAATGGATGGAGCCTGGAGAGGACCTTCCACTGCTGGGGTCAGGATATGTGACTGTTGGGTGATGTGTGCTGGTATGGAAAACTGATCTGCATGACGACATTGCCAGCTGTGAAGACTCCATCCGTCAGGAAGAGGGTTGTTAATAAATCAGAGGCTCTCCATGCTTATCTGCACCTTAAACTGGGCTTTTAGCAGGGGCTTGCTGTGCTCACTCAGGAGCAGAGCAGAGTACAGCACCACACTTGAGCTGTGCTTGCCATGGACACAGCACAGCCAGAACTGGACAGGATTTGACCACAAGCTGAGGAGGTTTAGACCAGACTTTGACATGATGCTGTGGCCGCAGTTTGTCCTTGACTGCACTTGCAGTTAAACCCTGCTTGGTGCTGGCTTAGCTGCACCCACTGCCAGCCCTGCTGTCAGCAGAGGGTAATTTAAGAGGTTTCTCCCAACAGCTGGCAGCACTGTTTACTCGTCCTCCCCTCCGTGCTGAGCCATCCCCTTCCTGGCACGGCTCACCTCGGATTATGCCGTTGGTCTCGCAGCCGGGTGGTGGTGGTGCCAGGATTCAAACTTGTCTCTTTGGAACAAGAAGCACAGGTGCAAGGCTGAACTCATGATCCTGGGAGGCCAACACATACCGAGAAGGCTTCGGCTTGGCTTCGGCCACGCGCGCTCACGCACGTGTGTGCTGGGGCATCCTGCTCTAACCCATTCCCTGCATGGGAATTGTGTCGTGGAGGATCGCACCATCCCTTTGTGCCCCTTCCCTCCACACACACACACACACAAATACCTCCCTTGGAATTTGCGTTAAAAATAAAGGAAGAAAAAATCCCTGGTGAGAGGTGATGCTGCTCTCCAAGGGGAATGGATGCATAGGGATGTAGAGGCTGTTTGGATCCTGCTCCACTGGCCATTGCACATCCTATAGTCTGCAGGGCAGTCCAGTGATTAACATATGAAAACCTGGATAACAGGGGGATTCTTGTACTGGCAGGAATGAAGGAGATAGATGACCATTTTGGTGCCAGTCAGCCCCATAACTGCTCTTTGCCACTGGGTTTAGTCACAATTCACCTTTCACACTTGGTACGACTTGAGGCTTTCCTGATGCAGCTGCTTTTAGCACAATATTCTTCACTTCTCCTCTGAGAAGCTCTAATTTTGGCTGTTAGGGTGTCTGTTCTGGCAACCAGCAGATGTATGGAGGGAGAACGGGGAGGTTTTAATAGCTGTTTGATGTATAATAATATGAGGGGAAAAAATCCATTTTGATGTAAGGGACTTTGTGCACATTAAGATAAAAAAGGGAGATTGCATGACTTCCACTGAAAATATTTTAAAGCAGATTCTATGTGGTTTTGCTGTGTGACAACATCAAATCATGGGCTTGAAAAATCTTGTGGTGGGGGAGCAGGTGGCTCAGACTGAAGCTGGAAGGCATGGATGGGTTTGGAATGTGTTTCCCTGCCTTCTTGGCCTGGAGTGTTATGGACCAAACTAGTAAAGTGCCTGGAGGACCCTTGGGGTTGAATGTGGGGCATGGACATGGCTTGGTTTGATTTATGTAGACAGGTAGATGGGATCTTATATGGCTCCAACAAGGTACTGAATATTCAGGAATTGTCCTCATTAATGTGCCAGTTAGTATCTTTCTTTAATGGTTTCAGAGGATAATTGTATTGCACAGAAATATTTGAGAGTAAGAATAATCGGAGGTGGGACAAAGCAATTTGGTTTTGGCAGCAGTATATTGTTACTTCAAAATGTAGTGGAGGTTGGACTTCACTTGTCAAAACAGAACTGTGTGTTCTGCCTCATCCAGAAGAATCGTTTCAATATTTATACTCTGGCCTGGGCTGGAAGAAGAAAATGCAAAATGCAGATTTGCATGAATTAGCTTAGAGTTTGCCTTCTCCAGGGTGTCCTGTGTCACCTGGAACAGGTTCATGCTGTGGTTCCAAGGGCAATTGAGGGTAATTTTGGTAAATCCAGAAACGTGTAAAATCCAGCGATGGATAAAAATGGCCAATGGATGATTGCCATTATGATTTTGCTTTATGATTAAGAAGTCAAAGCTTTTCATTGCACTTAATGTTGATGATGAATAAGATTTAATGTGATCTTAATCAGTTTTTTTAAGACAAAACCACCCCATTTTGGCACAAATCCAGCACAGTCAGAGGGACTCTTAGCAATGGCTTGATCAGTCCATGACTGTGGGAACCAGTGGCACTGCTCAGTTGTGTTTCTGGGTCACCCTGACAGTACCCAGAGCACTGAAATCCCATTTTTCTTTGCTTCATAGAAGTTATAAATTCTTCTCTTGCTTCACACTACGTAAAATGCCCATTTTTATGCAGTGTGTGCTTGGAGAAGAACATAACCCAATGCACCACACGTGGCTGCACGTCATTCCCTCTGTGGCTTCAAACATCTGAATTCCCAGTGAGTGTGATGTCAGGACAGTTGGTGCCTTAATTCAACTTAAAAAGCATTAAAGGTGTTTGTTTTCTTCTTCAATATTTAAAATTAGTGAAAGGATAACTTACAGCACATGCCCAATAACTACCTTTTTTTTTGTTTCTCACATGTTGGCACTACAGGATGGGAATCACAGCTCCTGGAAACAGGATTCCTGGGGATATTCCTGTGCCCACTCTGGACCCTGTCCCGCCTGCCCCTGCACACACCTCCTCCTAGAATTGTCATCTGGGGCTTTCGCTGGCTCATCTTCAGGATCATGCTTGGAGCGGTAAGTGGGACTTCATGTTTAGCTTCTTTGAGGTGTCTCATCCCAGCAGAAAACCTGCCCTGGTCCAACTCATCGGAATCCTGTGATTTAGGATTGGTTTAGGTTGCAAGGAAGAAGTGTGTAGCAGGAAATGCTCATGCTCTGGTGAATGCTCATCCTTCAACTGTTAGTGTTTATTTTAAGGAGGACAAACACAGGAGTAGAAATATCTGTGCAGATATGTTGGTGCTGCTGATGTAATTGGCTCTTGCAAAGGAATAAAAGTGATGTTTGAGCCTTGGGCATTGTGGGGTTTTGATAAGATTGTTAGGAATCTGGTGGGTAATTCCCAGGAACCAGCAGTTTACCTGGAGTTGATTTTCCTTTGTGTGTGCTTTACTAAAATGTCATTCTTGGCTCTGTGGTTTCAGAGAGAACAATTGCTGCACTGCTGTCCCAGTGCCAGTGGAAATTCCCAAGTAGCTTGTAAGAGCATCCATCAGGAACTGACACATCTTTGTTAAAATAAAGGTGTGGCGGGAGCATTATTCTGTCATCTCCATCTGCTTGGACCTTTCAAAATACCCCAGAACTTTACTCAAAGGATCATCGCTGTAGGAGGTGTGGATGGGGATGTGTGTTGTTTTTTTGGAGTGGGTTTTTCTGGTTGGTTGTTTTTTTCTAGGAATCTCATGGGGAACATATTATTTGACATTTTTTGTCATGTGTTATATGGCATTTTTCACCAATGGCATCTTCACCAAATGTCAGACTATTCATCCCTGATGGATGGAGGTTGGTTCATGTGGTCTTGATGCTTCTCAGCTTCTGAAATGCTTCTTTCTGTTCAGGAAGTGACTGGATGTGGCACTTAGTGCTCTGGTGTAGTTGATGAGATGGTGATCGGTTACAGGTTGGGCTCAATGATCCTGGCCGTCTTTTCCAACCTAAATGATCCTGTAATTCTGTGATTCTCAGTTGTGATGCTGATTGTAGAAT